AAGGTGTGACAGTGAATGACAGTGAACAACGACAGCGCCTGCTCTAGATCTGCATCGCCAAGAGGGGAGGCAGCAGCCGCGTGCAGACATGTAAATTCACACTCATGAATACTGAACTTGGGCTCTCTACAGGGCACCAGGGTCTAGCGGTGGACTCTTATCCTGAAGGATGACGCAAAGCCTGGTGATCTGCTCACAGAGCAGCTCCATTCTGCGCACACACAGGGTCACCATGGAACAACAACGAGACTCAGAAAGATGAAGAACCTCAGCTCCTCAATTGCCCCAGTCACATTTCCAGTGCTCAACAGCGATCTGTGTTCTCCCAGGCACAGAGCGGGTCCATCAATGGGCAAAGTGACGCAGCCCTACCAGAAGCTACCAGCAGGGGGCAGATGGGTCAGGATCACCACGAGAAACGCCAAGTGCAGGAACAGCCAAATAGTAACTGTCAAGGATGCACTTGCCCTGTGTTCTCTTAAACATTGTGCTCCCCCTGCCCCTGAATGAGCACTAGTACCCGGCTGGCTTAAAAACAAAACCAAAAAAAGCCTGGTGTTCGATGAGTGGGAAGCTACTCTGACTCACTGTGGAGTGATCCGGGGCTCTTGCAATGAGAACTTACAGTTTGGTCTCATCTGCCTCTTTCTGCATGATTTCAAGGATCATGCGGCACGCTTCTGAGGTCCCCTCTGGGGTGGCATGGATGGTGACAGGCTTCTCTGCAGCCCCAGAGTTCTCCTTTCTGTGGATGTCCACCCTGTAGGAAAGAACGGGAGCCGTGAGCGTGCTTCCTCAGGTAGGAGGCCTCCAGGCCCAGAGCGAGGCACTGACTCAGCGACTGGGCACAGGCAGGCAAGGAAGCGTCACTAGCATGTCCCCAACCAAGAGTGCCATTCTCCAAGAAGAGGGCACACGCCGTGCAGACGATCTTGTGCCAAACTTTGACTCTTTGCAGGGCTTATGGGAATGCTATGAGACCGAGACACCAAGCTAACTTGGTAAGGAAGCCAGCTTCTTGTGTGGACTTCGAAATGCTGGTAGAAGCAGCAAGGAGCAATCCTACTGCACACGGTCACTGTGCTGAGTCTGTGGCCAAGGGCAGGGTTTGAAAATCACATTACTCCAAATCCAGGCCACTGGGTGTGGCGAGGGCGCAGAGGCTCGCCCCCTTTGCCTCTCTAGGTTTCCTCTCACTCCGGGCTCTTCCCTGAACGGCTCCAAAGAGGGATGTCTTTCTCGGGTGCCTTCAGGTGGACGGTCCTCCTTGTGTTTGTTCATGCTCTTTTTCACTGTGGCAGTTTTCAAGACCAGAGCCACATCTTGGGCCTGATTCTAAACGGATCCGCGTACACCTTGCAGACCAACCTCAAAATTAAGCTTTATTGGGGGCTCATACAACTCTTACCACAATCCATCCATCCATCCATTGTGTCAAGCACATTTGTACATTCGCTGCCATCATTGTTCTCACAACATTTGCTCTCACGCTTCTCTATTTCTGAGCCACCTTAAACGAGCTTTGGAAGGGTCAGCTATAGCATCTGTCCCCATGCTTTGTCACCACATGCTTGCCCTGCCAACCAGGTCCTTGCACTCACAGAGCGCCAGGGTGAAGTACACTTGGTGTGTGTACGTAACTAGTAATTGACAGGTCTTGTGCTTTGCAACTAAGTGCTTTCATATTCCTCGCTTTAAGCAATCTGCCCAATTGAGTTACTTCTTGGGTCATCTTGGCAAAACAGTTCGTAAGCCCTCCTTTACAGCAGTCTCGGATGCTCAGAGGCTAGTTCCCCTCCTAGTTCATTTCGCCATTAAGAGAACTTAAACTCAGGACTTTCTTTTCAAATCGTGAGTCAAGCTTCACCATTCGTCTTCCTTGCTCTGGGCTCATGAACGCACAGGTGCACTGTCCCACAAGCCACTTCCCCACCACACCTTCAGGCTCTTTAAACGAGCTGAGGTCAGTTAGTGCGCCTTACTGCTTGCTCAGGAGGACGGTGACTTGTCCGCTTTTCTGTGGGGATGTGGGAGGCTCCCTTGATGGTCCTCAAGGAATGACTATCACCGTGAGCTTTGAAGAGGTAGGAACTCTGGTAAGCGGGTGGCTAGCTGTTTCACAACCAGCCTGGGAGGCACGCACAAGCATCGGTTAGCTTATAGGAACAAGCCTTGGTTATGAGACCGTGAGTGCTCTGTGGCACTTTAGATTAGATTAGCATTTTATGAAACTTTCAATGGTGACCATTGGGCCATCGCCACGAAAGCTCATCAATGCCCCAGCCTCGTGTCAGTCTGTTTGTCCTGTTTGAGGAAACCACTGCCCCACACAGCCCGGCCCGTCTGCTGACGCCAACGAGAGCTTCTGCCGTTGGCCGAGGCCCACCAGCACAAGAGAGACCCCTGAGAGCAAGCAAAGGAAGCCCCAGAGGCACGTACATACCGAGACTGGGTCTGCTTAGTGATGTTCTTTATGGTCCAGCCCTCCTTTCCGATGATGGCGCCAACAAACTGGGTGGGGACCAGGATCCGCAGCGGGAAATCAATCTGTCTGGCCTGAGGAGAGCCCCCAGGGGCATGGCCTTGCTCCCTGGAAGAGTGGTCCCCACGCTGGGCTCGCTGAGGGGGCGAAGGGGAGCTCACCTCTTCATCTGGGATGTAGGAAATCTTGAAGGAGTAGTTCTCAAACTGATGCCCGCTCAGCTTCTCGATGGCTCTGAAAGGCAGCAGCAGGCCGGAGAGTGCCTTTAGAAGCGACTTCTCTATCGACTGAGCAGGCCATGCGCTCTGCTTTAAGCACGCAGTGCCTGATGTCCTGCCAGGCACTCCGTAGAGTGGCGGTGCTGAGCGAGACAAGGTACCAGCTGTGCTCCGCAGAGCTGCCTCGGTCATGACCACAGGCCTGGGCAGCCAAGTACAGGTTGGCATTCTGCGGTGTTTCACCTCTGAGCCCTGTACCCTCACTGTACATGCCAGGAAGGTGCTCGTTTAAACCACCAATTAAACAAGACAGACAGGCCAACATCTACCCAAAGTCAAAGATGGGAGGGGCAGACAGCAGAGAGATGGAAACGGGGCAGGAAGGCTGAGCATGGTGAGAGGCAGGCACACTGTGTAGGGAGGGGGTGGTAACCAGTGTCACAGAGCAAGGTGGGCATGAACCCGGGGAGGGGGGATTTGCTCTGTAAATTTTCACCTAAAGCATAATAAAATTGTCTAAAAACAAACAAACATATAAAATGATCACTCCTTTCCCCCACCTCATTTTTGAAAACAGAAGAGATAAACACACTTTAAGAAGTATTTTTACATGATTTTTAAAAAAGATATGAAAATAATAATAATATATCAAGGGATCACGAGGGTGGGAGGTGGAAGGGGGGGAGAAGAACTAATATCAAGGGCTCAAATAGAAAGAAAATGTTTTGAAAATGAAGATGGCAACATATGCACACATGTGTTTGATACAATTGATGTATGGATTATTATAAGAGCTGTAAGAGACCGCAATAAAATGATTTATTTTTTTTAAAAAGAAGTATTTAAAAAAATCATTTTATTGAGGGCTCATACAACTCATCACAATCCATCCACACACAGAGGCAAGGGTGGTGAGACTGCCACACGTGCTCTGGGTACATTAGCAGCCGACCAGGGCCTGGAGAAGGTTACCACGCTTGGTCAAGGAGAGGGGCAGAGAAACAGAGGCAGGCCCTCAGCAAGGACAGGCAGACTGACCCTGGAATAAGAACCAAAGCAGGAGCGGGCTGTGCTTCCTTCTGTCACACACAGGGGGCGCTGCGTGGGATTTGCCTACGCGGTCCAGCAACAATATCCTATCAGGTGTGTCCTAACTTCTGTAACTGATCTACATGATGTCCTTTCCCCCACCCAGGTGTCACGGCGTCTTTGCAAACCAGCTCGCTTCCACGGGGCTTTGGGGGAGCAGTGGGCCCTCTGGAAGGCTCTCACCACAGCAGTCCCGGAGCAGTCCAGGGAAGCATGTACTTCCTTGAATGCTCAGGTGACAGCACATGACTGTAATGTCTTTATCAACTTGACGGGACAGACCATATCCTACTACTATATTTTAAAATTCTGTGTGAATTGGGGAGTTTCCCCCAACTGGTTTCTGGGCAGCATGAACACAGTCCTTCTGGGGGAATATTTAGGGTTTGTGGGTTCACTGCAGAGCAGTCTTTTGAAACTGATCAAGGCAAGAGGGCCACCTCCTGCGATGAGGGCCTGACAGCCGAGTTGTCTGCTTACCTCCTGCACCATAAGCTTTTTGAAAACTAGAGGTCTAAGACGGGGTTATGTGTGTCATCGTATGCACTGGAAGCTTGAGAAAGACACAGAACGCTAACGCTGGGCTGAGAGCCAAGCTCAAGGCACATTATGACCACGTTCAACCAAGAGTCTAGTGACAATGACCAGACAGTTTCTTCCGGGACCTTCTACAAAAAGCAGCTTGGATTTTTAACCAAAGGAACGTAGGGGAGACCCCAAAGAGCAGAGCCACACTTTGTGCCTAGTCTGCTAAGATCCAAGCTCAAGGCTTAGAGCAATGGGGCCGGGGGGACTGGGGAAGGAAAGGAGGTAGAGAGAATCCAGTGCTCTTTGACCAGCCAGCCCAGACTCTCCTCCCTGCACCTATGCTGCTGACGAAACTCCAAGTGACAGTGGTCCAAGTGGCTGTTGAAGTTGAGCCTAGGGGACAGGTGTTCACATGTCAAGGCCCAGCTCCTACCTGAGGTTTGACGCCTGGGCTCATTATTTCCCACGATACAACCAGTCAACTACTTGCTGAGGGGCCCATTCTGACTCATGGCAGCCCCAAGGGTGTCAGAGTAACTGTGCTGCCCAAGGCTTTCCAGGGGCTGGTATTTAGAAGCAGATCGCCAGGCCTTTCTTCCGAGATGACTCGCGTGGACTCCAATATCCATGCTCCAGCTAGCCTGTCAACTGCTGCACCCCAGGTGTAACCTACAGCACACAGCCGTGGGGCTCCACGGATCTGCCAAAGAGCAGCATCCTTACAGGAAAGGCTGCTCAACACAAGGGTCACTGGGCTTCAAAGACAAGGCCAACCTGGGCTTATGGAAGGAGACAAACCCACGCCCACTTACAGTTTTGCTTCTCCTCTTGCTGCGTAGGTGACATTGACCACGGCAGTTTCTGTGTCCGTGTTGACTAGGGAGAAGCACAAACTACATTGTCACAGAAAGAAACCACCACACAACACCATAAACGCACCCCGGCTGGCTCCACGGAAACGGGCCAACTTTATAGAAAAACGCACAAAAGATTCATCACGCAACAGGCAAGTACCTGTCCAGAGACAGTTTTTGCGCATATAAACCTGCACACATATCATCTTGGTAAGACCCCATCTTGAATGCCTAGGAAACATTTCACCAAGCGAATACATGCTTCACCTCCCCCGCCTCCAACCCCCCGCCCCCCCCCACCAACTGCTGGCAAATGAGCTCTCTCAGTATCTTGTAATGACCAAAAGTATTCCTAACAGTCCCCTGTATCGCAAACACCATTTGAGTTTGAGTTTGTGCTACTACTTCGGGTTACTCCTGGAGGCTGACATCACTAAAGGAAGAGCAGGATGTTTTTAAAGGATCGTTTCCGACTGCTGGCCTAGAAACTTGCATCCATGTATCGTACCACTGTCAAGGCAGGGCTTTAGTTTTTATGATGTACATTTATTTTCAAAGAGTAGTAACAGTGCTGTCCAGTGCCTGACTCTTGGCGACCCCGTGACGGAGTCCAATGGTCCCACTGGGTTTACGTGACTAGATTTTGAAGGAGCAGATTCCTGGTCTCCCTGCTACCATGGAGCCTCTGGGTGGGTTCAAACGGCCAACCCTCCAGTCAGGATCCAGGCACTTAACTGTGAAGCTAGTGGGACTCTTTCAAACAGCTGGAAATGTATAAAGCAATAAAAAAGGTGTTTCAACTTCCACTTCCTCATTTGCTAACAAGGTCGAATTGTTACTATTTTTGCTTACCTTGAACTCCCTGATTATGTGGGTTTGATAAAAACCTGCCAATTGCAGCCTACTTGGCTGAAGGACAGAGCGCACAGACTCTACGATTGGCTAACGCGGGCCTGTGCCTGTGAGCGGGCTCACCTTGGTTCACAATTGCTTGCCTTTCCTTCCCAGGTCTGGAGTTAAAAGTAAGAGTAACGTCACATAATAAAATGCAGAAAGAAAAAAAAAAGCAACTGTAACCTCAAAGGACGTGGTGAAAATGTTCCCGGTCCAAGTGCGGAAACTTAAACCCAAAAGCATCTGTTTTCCCAAAACAAACCAAAGTGTTAAAATCTAAACCCCTTGTTGGATCAGGCAAGCTCTGGGCTTCTTGGAGGTAACTATAGAACTAGGACAAGAAAACCATGCGAACACTGCTTTTCAGTGGGAAGGTAAAGTCCCTCCAGTGTGAAGATTCATGTTTGAGCTTCAGGAGTTCTATGGACTCTCCCAAAGGGTTCCGATTCAGATATAATGTCACTTCCTCTGAGAAGAAGGCTTAGAATTCCCAGAAGATTCTGTGAGAGATCTGCAGATCCTCCAAAGAGTTAAAAAGCATGGTTATCCCCTCCCTGGGGGCCGGGCAACAGAAAAGTGTGTGAAGGGAGACGTTGGACAGTGTAAGACATGACAAAATAATAATAATTTATAAATTATCAAGGGTTCATGAGAGAGGGGGCGGAGAGGGAGGGGAAAAATGAGGAGCTGATACCAAGATCTCAAGTAGAAAGCAAATGTTTTGAGAATGATGAGGGCAACAAATGTCCAAATGTGCTTGGCACAATGGATGTATATATGGACTGTGGTAAGTTGTACGAGCCCCAAATAAAATAATTTTTAAAAGAAAAAAAAAGGCATGGTTAAAATAGTGTGTGTCCAATGATTTCAAAGTGGCTCCAGTCTTGGGGAATTGCTCTGGAGATCAGCGGCTGAGACCAGCTCTGGACCTGGCCCATGAGGGTGCAGAAAACTAACTCACACCCACCCCCGTGAAGCCCTCAGTGCAAATGGGAATCTGTAGCCCACAACCCCTCCAAGTGCTGGCACACAGGAAGCTACTGAGGTTCCAATCTGCTGCGCTCAACTGTGACAGATGAAGCTGGAGATGCCCAGAAGGGGCTGGGTTTGAAATTCCTGACTCAAGCTCTCCAGTAGGATTGTCAGATTAGGTTCTCACTAAGATATATTCTCTGGTCTTCTGGGATGAGCTGAGCTCCACCCAAATAATAGATTTCACGGGGCATGAAAGTTCTATAGAGATTTCTAAAAGTGCTTTCCTGAGGAATGAGGCATCACCCATAAAACAGAACAAAATCCAGTACCACACTCGATCCTGCAGTTGGGAGGCAGTGAGGGCTGGGGCTCCTTCAGGGTACAGGTGCCCTCAGAGCTGTGAACTGCCCCCGGGACCTGGGATGCCTCTTCTCCCGCAGAACCGTCCTGAATTGATAACACGGTCCTAGCTCGGGCTTTGTACCCGTTCCTGTCTGTCAAGTCGTCCTGCCTACAATACTCGGCCTTTCCTAGAATGTCTTCTTTTCCACGCTGAAGGGAAATAAGGAGAACCAAGAAATGCAGTCCTTGAAAATCATGCCTTCTTTTTGAACTCTTCTTTCTCTTCGCCTTTGGGCTTAGGCAGGCAGCAGCAGCGTGATATGGGAAGCTGTTTTTTAATATTCACAGAGTGAAGAATGTCTGAATAATTACTTTAAAATGATTCTGTTCATTCGAATGGAGATCCAGCAGATTGCAGATATGGGGAAATGGGCTCGCTGGTTTTTCTCAAGTGAACATTCCAAATTCCTCACGGATGATGGATCCCTGCCGAGGGTCAACTGACGGATGCGCTCTCTGGGCGCGAGGACTCTGCAATGCTCAGAAGAGGAGCATTCTGCACAGGTGGAAACCGAGTCCGAGAGGTTAGGGGACTTTCCCAAGGACTCAGAGTCAATAAATGGCTGACGTCACCATCTGTCTTCTGGGCCAAGCACCCCTAATCCTTAATCATGTATGCCTACCCGTCAGATTAAATTCTGAATCTACGTTTCCAAGTCTCTCAGCTTCCGAAGACACTGGAGAAAAAAATCACGGCATTTCATACTTCAGGGGTGGGGAGCGTCCGGCCCGCAGGCCATGTATAAGGCCGCAGAAATCAACACCTGCTAGCAACACTGGCCTCGCATAAGAGAAGCAGTTCCAGCCATCACATCAGGAGTGAGTTAATTCAAGCCCAGTTTGGACTGCCAGCAATGTTATAACTATCCAAATGGCCCTGGACAGAGAAAAGGCCTCCCCCACTCCTGCTTTTAGACAACAAGACGAACGGGGGTGGCAGGGTGGAGGAGTTCTCTGGGGACTCGTGCAGCACTGTTCCTGAGGCAGAGGCCCTCACACCTGGGGGCACACAGGGGCTTCAGGAGTCCTGCCCCTGAAAGGTCTTACTCAGGCCATGGGCATCTCAACCAGCACTGCGGGGATTCTGGGCGCAGATCCTACTCTGGGAAATGCTCAGCCCGAGACACCAGAGATCTGCGTCTTCAGGAAGGGGAAGCAGCAGAACTGTCAATCTAAGGACTCCCGCGTGCACGAAGCAGTCCCCAGAATGACAGTGCTTAAAATCAAATTCCTTGAACGAAGAAACCACAGACCTAGATGTGGGTCTCTCTCACATCGTGGAAAAAGGCCATTATCTTTTAACTCCATTTCCCCACAAACTTTTTGAAGCCCTGGGTGCATGCATACACTCTGAGCAGCTTTTCCCGGGAGTTGGCCCGAGCTATAAGGAACGATAAGTAATATCCCTTTCAAAATGGAATAGACGGACGTATTACCTTGTTCCACATTCTCCACAGTCCCATACTGAGCCAAAAGCCCATCCAACACCTGAAACCAGGAAAAAGAAAGCTTCGTGTCAGGGGGACTAGACACTCACAAAGACTGGCCAGGAATCACAGCAGATGAACCCAAGGCCCAATCCTCTGCCACTGGTCCGTTCCCATTCAGAGGGACCCTGCGGGACACAGTGGCGCTGCTCCTGGCTTCTGAGGCTGTCATTTCTACAGGGCTGACCGCTTCTCCTTCCCTGCAGAGCAGCTGTGGAGCTTAACCAGCAGCCCAATGCTTAACCCCTGCGCTGCCAGAGCACCTTAAAACCAAGTGCTTATGGAGGTGATGCCATCAAATTGATATTTAAAGGCTTTTCTATAAGAATTGAGCTGAATAAAACTAGGGGATGTTCATGTGCTGAGTGGCTTCTACAGAGATTTGTTCACTAAGGCGATGCCTTGTCTGGTTTTGATACTCTGAGGGGCTAGTTAGCCTGCCCCTGCTGTCTGGGCCACAGAACCCCACAGCCTTGGTAACGCTGGTAAATCTACTGTCGGCCCTGACGGCTGGAATCACCTGCTGCTCTTGAGATGCTGAGCAGAATAAAGTACCAGGCTCACTTCTTGGAAGATTTAGCAACTCTTCTTTCATTTCCCCTACAAGGATCTTTTTATTTTACAAAGCAATGGGAATGTTTAAGTTTTCCATTTTATACACACACGTACACACACACATGTACACACATTTTTTGCTTGTTTAAGTCTATATAATGGTTAGTCTCACTAAGGAGAGAACACCGGAATAGGTTAGAGTTTCTTGCTGTAGTGAGCGCAAATTTGAGACGGTTTGATCATCTGCCACGGAGTGTTGCTGGCATAATAAATACCTACTTTTTTAAGTAGTGGAGAGGCTAGACAAAGCCACCTGTTTCCTTGTACGGCTATCTTAAACTTGTGCTGGCCTCACGAACAAAGCAGAGCCCTGTGTGTTTAAATAAGACGCCAAGGCCACTCTCTACAGTCTGCCTTTTATCAGTGTCGCACTCTTATGAGAAATCTCAAAAGATACCTTAATAGTCACTGAAAGTAACTTAATTGAAAGTAAAAACTCACACAAACTCAACAAAGAACTTTCTATTTTCATTAGTCTTCCTCCCTATCCCCCCGCCCCAAATAAAATCCTCATTTGGAAGGGTAACCAAACCATGAGATGTAAACGCCACAAACCAGGCAGGTATTGTTTTGCAGTTTGGTTGGTGCTTTGCTGCGCGAGACCGAAGTGTACACTCGGCACAATAAATAAGCCCAAACCAGACCACTGCTGTTGAGCGGATTCCAACTCACACGGACCCCATGGGACACAGGACTGCTCCTGAGGTTTCCCATCTGTAGGAGGGTGAGGGGGAATGCTGGCACACTCCTGAGGTGGCGATCAAAGCCATAAAAGAAAGTGTGTTGAATGGGAAACTGCTTTGATCGGTAAGCCCTCACCCGCACCAACAGAAAGTGTTTAGAAAAGTAAGCCTTTATGGGATGAAGCAAACAGCCTCATCCTTCTGAAGAGCTGCTGGCGGCCTTGAACTTTGGGCTTTGGCGTTAACAGTCTCATGCTTAACCTGCCGCACCAATCAGGGTTCTATTCTGCATAACAGAAGAGGTAAATATGAGGAGACTTGGGCAAGCTCGGGGAAAATTCCACTTTTGAAACACCTGTTGTACAGCCCCCAACATAATATTCAACTCATTGCCACCAAGTTGATCCCGACACCACATATAAGGACACAGTGGAGCAGCAGAAGAGTTTCCACGGCTGGAAGTGTCCGTGGAAGGAGTCTGCCACAGCTTTCTCCTGCAGAGCAGTGGGTGGGTTCAAGCCATCGACCGGCCTTCTGGTTAGCAGTCCATCCTACCTACGGTGCCACCAATGCTCCTTCCAAACACCTGTTCCACTGGGTCAATGCTGACCCGTAGCGACCCCTGAGGCTGCTGAGCCTGTAACTGTTTATAGGAGTAGACAGCACAGTCTTTCTCCCAGAGCTGCTGGTGGATTTGAACTGCCAACCTCGTGGCTAGAAGCCGAATGCATAACCGCTATACCACCAATGTCTGTTGGAAAAGCCCAAGAGGCTTTGTGGGAAAATCTGAAGACCCCCAAATTCTTCAATGAGAAAGAGGACCAGGGAAGGAGGCAAACATCGCTGCCTCATAAAACGCAGGCTAAGCCAAGAGCAGGAAGACAGCAGATAGAGACCAGCTTACCTCCCACTGCAGGTGAGGAGGGATGTTTCGAATCTGGATTTTCCTGCTCCTGTAACGAGAAGACCACGGACGGTTAGCTTTTCTCTTGGACACAGCTTTAGCAGACAGTGCCAACAGGCTGACTATCACACTCGGCGCTCCCTTTCTCTGCGTCTTCACCAAGGCGTCCACCGTGAACCCTTGAGCCTCGCACGTCAAGGCTTTTCACGGCCCTGAGGAAAAGGACGGGGCACACTCTGAGAGCTCAACACCCAGCTTAAATGCACATCTGTCTGTTCAATTTCCTTATAGAACCCCTGCCCTGGAGTGGATCCCAGGCTGTGTGGGGACAGACAGCCTCAGCTTTCTGCTTCAGAGTGGCGCGTGGGTTCAAACCCCAGGGCACCACCAGGGAAATTTAGAAAAGAAACCCAGTGTTTGGTTCAGACTTAAAAAAAAAAAAAAAGGCTCTTTCATTGAAATCCATCAAGGTGTGGCACATATATTTATTTAAATCCAACCTTCCACAATACATTAGGAAAGCAATGAACTGCAAGGGAAAAAAGTTCTTCATGACAGCAATATTAATAATAATCTGATAGCTGCTTTATCCGAGAAGGAGCCCTGGTGGCGGCGTGGGTACGTGTTGGCTTGACCACAAGGTCAGCGGTTCGACACCGCCAGTTGATCCTCAGGGGGGAGGCGAGGCTTTCTGTTCCCATCAAGAGCGTATCGGAAGCCCACAGGGGCAGCTCTCCCTGCCCTGTAGGAATCTACTGCACGACAGTGAGTTTTTATTTTTATTCTTTATTGAAAAAGAAAAAAAAAGAGTCTCTAAAGAAATTGAAATCGTCTTTCTGGCCCTGGGTGGCACAAAAGTGGCCCACAAGTCGCCCTCTGCTGCCTCCGCCTCTCCTCTCCCAACCAGTTCACACTCAGTACCACCGACTACCTCCACGACTGGTCATTCCGCCTGCCTTCCCTGGAAGCCTTCCTTCAAGGACTCCCTTGCCATGTCCAATCCTGTCACAGCCCCGCTCCGTGCTGCCCCTTCACCACCAAGCTGAAAATGCCGCTGCCATTTCAAACTGCCCCAGTCTGCGCCAGTAGTTCACAGATGTGTCCCACCTTCAAAACCAGACCGAGGGGCCAGGCAGGAGGCCTGTGCTCACTTCAATTGCTGGTTATTTTAACTATCAATGCAACAAGGACTCTGGCCAGTCAAGCAGAGGGCACTCTTTCACAGAGATGCGCGTGGGCTTTCCTGGCCTGTGGGATGCAGAATTCCCCACGCTCATGTTCAAGAACAGTAAATGTTAGGGTTAAAAAGGGCAAGAAGCCCCGTTTCCATACCAGGTAAAGGGTAGTGCAGCCCTTTAGCCATCCTGTTGTTGGAGAACTAGCTACTTGGATGAATTCTATATTCTGGCTAATTGGGATTCTAATATAGCTTGTCAACTATAAGATTTAGAAGCATCCTATCATGCACCTGTGAGAGCTGGGCAGTGAACAAGGAAGACCAGAGAAGGGCAGATGCAGGTGAATGATGGGGTTGGCGGGCATTGTTACAGTGTCATGGACTGCCATCAGAACACGCAGACCTTTCCTGAAAGCACCGTCCAAATGCTCCTTAGCAGCCAGGATGGCGTGTAGAAAGGGGGAACCGATTGCAAGGATCTACATATAACTGTCTCCCTGGGGGTCGGACAACAGAAAAGTGGGGGAAGGGAGACATCAGACAGTGTAAGACATGACGTTATGATAATAATTTATAAATTATCAAGGGTTCATTGGGGGTGGGGAGGGAGGGGGAAAATGAGGGGCTGATACCAAGGGCTCAAGTAGAAAGCAAATGTTTTGAGAATGATGATGGCAACAAATGTACAAATGTGCTTGACACAGTGGATGGATGGATGGATGGATGGATGGATGGATGGATGGATGGATGGATGGTGAGAGGAGTTGTATGAGCCCCCAGTAAAATGACTTAAAAAAACCAGAAGTGAGGATGGCTAGCCTCTGTCTCACACACTTTGGACATGTTCTCAGCAGGCAGTCCCTGGAGAAGAATACCACACTCGGGCGAGGGCTCACAATAGAGAGAAATGAGTCACACAGTGGCCGCAGTGATGGGCGCACCCATGGGCCCTACTGTGAAGATGACACGGGACCGGGCAATGGATTTGTTCTGTCGCACGTAGTCCCGCCCACTCGGAACTGACTCAACCACACATGTAACAACAACTTGGAACACACCTCACCCGGCTCATCTACCTCAGCTGGCGAGTTCCAAGACCGGAACGTGCCTCAGGGTACATTTTATTCCTATGTTATGATCGTTGTCCTGTGGCTGCCCAGAGGTAACAGAAGCTTCCAAAGGAATGCATTCCGCATAAACTAGATGTCCGTGGTCAGGAATTTTATGGGCTTGGGAGAAACTGTTTTGTGTGGTAGAATCTGTTGCTTGAAATGGGTGAGCCACTGGGGAAATAAAACCCAATTTAATTACGGAGAACTCTCCATGATCCTAAAGGACGACTTCACCTCTATCATTTGAAAACAAACCAGCAGCTGCTGGCATGTGAGGAAGAGATCATGCCACGGATTTCACACGTCTGGTCATTGGCCACAGGCTTGATCCTGTCAGGGCTTGGAGCAGAGAACCCAGACAACATGATAGTGGGAATCCAGCTCACGGGACCCCAAGTTCCATCCGAAAACGGTCAGGTCCAAGAGCAGAGGCTTCTGCAGACAACGTGTGGGCCAGAGAGGCAGCACAGCCATTCCGAGGTCCATCAGCGGGCCTGTGGTCTTCTTCTTGGCGGGACACCAAAGGGCCCAGCATGGAAGTCACCTGTGGAGAAGGCAGGTGTGCCGTGTCCAAGGAGGACACAGAGCGGGGCAGCACTGCGCACCGCACCCCCAGGGTGCCGGTCGGCCTTCGCAGCACCTCCTGCGCTCCTTAGTGTGTAAATGAGGCACTTGACCTGTTTCCATCCCTCACGAGTTATGAAAGGTCCCCGTACAACTTCTGGACATTCAGTATAAGGGACAGCTGTGCTCAGCTGAGCTAAGGACACATGTGTTGGGGGAGGCCAAAAGTGAGGCTCCATTCACCGTCTCTTGAAGTGCTCACGGGTGGGGGGGCTCCCGGAGGGCAGCACTGGGAATGATTTAGAGTCAACCAAACAAAGTGCTCCGTCCCGTTCTTTGCTGCAGTATGACTAAGAACGAGCACCTCTGCCTGCCTGGAAGCTAAAGCTATCGGACTCGACCAGGATTCAATCAAGCACATATGTACATTTGCTGCCCCCATCATTCTCAAAACATTCGCCCTCCACCTGAGCCCTTAATATCAGTTGCTCATTTTCCCCCTCCCTCCCTACCCCCTCCCTCATGAACCCTT